GCCTTGCCCCTTGGCCACCACGCCTTCCATTCCTGAGCCATAAAGGGTCAAACTGGACACATGGCTTGGGAAATTTCCTTAGTTCCAGTTTTGTTCAGAAGTCAAGTGATAAGCGCAATATAATAATTACCATTTATACATTGTTTAACAGAGACATGATGTCCAGGTGGTAAGGGATTGGTCTTGACAATACACAGGAGAGGTGCAAGCTGTGGTCAATGTTGTGAGACCACTTCTGACGGCAAATTGTTTATACCCATTCTTAATGGTAACACTCTAAAGCGGGGTGGTGCCTATCAGACCACTGGTTTCAGAGTTACTTAAATGGACAGACGAAGCCTCCCCAAGTCCTATGTCAGAAGGAGTCAGACTCCAGCCATGACAGGAGGTGATCATGAGGGCAGAAAAAAGTGGGGGGAAACAAGGCAAGGGGAGCAGATACCTGCATAGACAGACTCCAGCTGTGGAAGTTGGACGTGATGTTTTCTTCGGCCAGAGACTGCAGCAGATCCTTGGGAAAACTCCGGAACAGACGGCTGGACTGGGCCGCTAGAGGACAGAGATAACAGATTTGTGGTTAGGTGGTTCAGACAAGCTGTTCACACAACACAGTAGAGAGGAAGTTACATTTAATCCTAACGTTCATCAGGGCTGCTATATACAATTAAATGATTACCCCTTAAATGAGTATAATGTGTTATTGTGTACTCTGCCGCTGGTCTCAAAGCTTAGCAGAAATCCAAATTACTCTTTAGAAAGGTGCTACTAAAAACAATGATGTCTCTCATTTGCATGGGATCTGCCCATATCCTGCCACATTGAGCAGGGTCCCCATAGAGATGGACAACTATTCACACCTAGGGGCAATGTAGAGTTGCCAAATAATCTAACTTGCATATCTTTAAAGGGAGGAAACCAGAGAACTTAGGGGAAATGATGATATCTCGTCTCATTTACATGGGAGTCACACATATTGTCTCACACTGAGCACCATAGGTGATACTGCTGTCAGTCTAAAAACAGCAAAAAGTAGTTATGCAGGAATGTATGCTCTTTTAGACATCTTCCTAGAAGGATTCCTATAAATGGAATTCCATAACAACTGTAAACAATAAAATAAATTTTCTTTCATCTACACCGAATGGGTTAATAGATGAGGGAACGTATTACAAATTGTTGATGCTGTATGGGATATATATGCAAGGAAAATTATGTTAATAGTTAACTTAAATGTAATGAGTTGTGAAAGGCTTTTGTATAACTAGGTGAAATTATAAGATGATGAAGAGAATGCAGAGAGTCAGAAATTGTTTCTTTGAATGTGGCAAAAATGCACCAATTTATGCTGCAACGTGCCATCAAAGATGGGGAAGTAAGCAAGCTTGTATATACATGGAGATAAACAGTGCTGAATTAAAAAAAAAAAAGATCTTTGCAAATGTTTTAAGGAGATGCATTCAACACGGACCAGAAGGATATACGCAATGCAACTGGGACCACAGGTGCAGTTTAACCTATGGCATCTGAGGACACAGCAACAGGGTATATATTGTGCCATACCTGTGTGTTAAAGCGTCTAAGCACTACCACAGCTCATTCCTACAGGTCTTCTCATTAATCCACCTGAGTAGTCTTGAGTGGGCATGGAACTTTTATTAAATTTGGTGACTTCACATAATTTCCAACTTTCATGTATTTAGACTTTTTCCTCTTTCACGGTGCTATCTTTTTATGTAGTTTAGAACAAAATACAACCATTAATCCAAACAAGCTAGTCTCTGTTTAATGAGTTGTGAATGTTAAATGTGTTCCATCTGAAGTCTCCAATTTCACAGAGGTCCGCTACTCAATCTGATCTGTGCTGGTTTCGCAAAGCACCTATAACATCATTCATTATTCAAATCTTCTGTCATGGCATGAGATCTACGGTCATTTATTCACCCTCTGTGCTTTTGTACATGCCCAACTGGTAACACACAGTTTATAGGTGACACATTTGGTTGTATAGATTGTATAAATTAACAAAATGACAGGCGCTGTAGAAATCTGACCTCAGGACACAGCGATGGCAGATCAACAACTAGTATTTTTGGTCCACTTATTTTTGCCCAGTTTTTATTTTGCATTCATTTTATTAGCTTTGGATCCGCCTACATCACACAATATGTAGCACCATGACTGATGTTGCTGTGAGGCAGATTGGGATCCAAACTGGAAATAGCAAGTAGTTAGGAATTATTGTTTTTTTTTTTTTGTTGTGTTTTTATAGTAGGATTCCAGTAAAAGGAATTCCCATTTCTGTTGTCAAAATATAATTTGCTTCTTTTTGGTTGCTGTAGTGATAGAAAAACATTAATTGACTTCTACCCTTTGTGTCTTTCACTTTATTTGTTTTTTATTTATTTATTGCAATCATTATAATTACTGTGAAATAATAAAGCAAGTAACACTGATAAATGGAGAGATATTTCATTTTACTATAAGTTACTTATTGTCTCATTAAGAAGGTATCTGACCTCATGCACCAAGAAAGAGACATTTGTAGCTGAAAACTAAAAACAGCTGTGTGTGTGTCCAGGGCCTTTAAGACTACTGATCTACATAAGATAAATGTGATAATTGACAAAGGTCCTGTTTTGTTAGTAACTAACTTGCTCGACAAAACACAACAACTGCAGAACAAGGACAAGCAGAAAAAGAATACCTGGTGTGAGAGCGAGAGGTAGAGCCACGGCCTTCGTATCAGTGAGGGTGAGCAGGTTTTTGTTGGCTGTGAGGACAGACAGCTGCTGGAAGCCCTGACAAGTTCCCCAAATAGGGAAGTAGTCGCCAGCATCATTCGCCTGCAGAGAATGAGGATGTGAGGAAGAAAAATAAGGAAAGCTTAATGCCATTTTGATTACTGTTTTATCTGTTTTTTCTCTAAGGACACAGAAAGCTTTAATTCACCTAAAACCCAAATCCTTCCCTCTCATAGAGTTGCACACATTCACACCAAGTATAGCTAAGGGCGAATGTGAGGCTTCAGCAGCCGAGTCTTCCAATGTGACATTGTTTTTAGTACCAAATTCCCTCTTCTTCTTACTGTTCTCCCACTGCAGCTCAGCAAATATCAATGTTTGAGGAAACAAGAAGAGGAATTTGTACTAAAAAGACAATATCTTCTCGATTTGTTTAAGTCACACTGGATTTTGTCCCCTATCACTTACATCCGGAAGGTATCGCTTCACTGCCAGTATGGAAAGGAGGAACAATTACAGCGATCAAAAACTCTTTCAGTGTACAAATGATACAGGTCTATGTCTTATTTTAGTTCCGACTTGAACAATCTAAACCTGTCATTTAATGAAAGGAAAATTGAACCAAGTTAAACTATCAGGTTACACTATAGTCTCTTTCAGTAGGATCCTGAGGTGTCACTTCATCTTGGCACATCGTTGCACGTGCCAAATGTCTTACCTTCAGAGCCAAGTTGTAAAAGATCCTGGCAGCTCGACTGAACTGCGATGTCTGAATATCCACATCTCCTCCTGGCAGCAACAACCTGAGGAGACGTTTTATGCCATTATTTGATAGAACAGGTAAAGATAGCCAGGAAAAGGGGGGGAGAAAGACAGAGGACGACAACATGCAGCAAAGGGCTGCAGGTTGGAATCATACCCAGCCCACTGCGGTAGGCAACCTCTACCAGGTGAGCTACTGTGTGCCCTGATATTTCCACAAGTTTGACATGTCAAATCATGACCTATGATGAGTGCAACGAACAAGCTTATATTTTACAGAACATGTTAAAATGATAGGTTACAGAGTACAGTGGTAGCAAAAGACAGCCAGCGTGTCGTATAGAGAGCTGAACAATAGAGATAACAAGAGAACTCTTGTCAACTCACCCATTTATTGAGTAGAACAGCTTAGCATATTCTTCTTCTGTGCGATTGATTCTGGAGAACAAAAAGAGGCACAGAAAGTTAAACTCATTAACTATCCAAAACAATCAACTGCATTATCAATCACTTTGGATTAAAGCAGCAGATAGATGTCCACACACCCCCTGTGTATGGCCACAAATAAAAAAATTGCCTGAATGAAGAATTGAGATGTTACTGATCAGAATTAATTGAATCTTAACATTTAGAGGATATTGAGACTCTGTGCAGGCTTGGTGAAAGCACTGAGCTGGAGTTAGGATGATCCTTTTTTTCTTGAATGTCAAATACATTTATTATGTTATTGAAAACAACCTTATTAATAATAAACTACGAGGAAGAGATAAAACAATTAAACAATTAAAAAGACTGGCTGTCATAATATAATTCAACATACATGTCTCTAACTGTCACTTTACAGTAACTGTCTCATTTACACAGACTCCGCCCACGTGGACCCAAATCTGGCACCATGACTGATACTGGTGTGAGTCTGATTCAGATGACTGCGTGACAGGTGATGTCAGTAGGAAGTTATGCTCTTATGATAATTTTGTAGCAGGGTTTGGATGAAGGAATTCTGAGCTGAAAGTGTAAAAAGTAAAATATAAAGCTCTCTTGATGAAGTGTAAGATAATCTGCTGTTGTCTTTGGAAACATACTACTTGCTTTACAGGCAGCTGCTACATGCTTAGCCACACAGAGCCTAAAGCAGTTATTGAGTATGGAGATGATATATGAGCATGACAGCGGGCTGTCTCCTTATCCCATGGTTGGTTGTCAAAGTATCCTTCGGCTGAAACCCTGGTCAGAGGAGCACCTTGCATGGTCGCTGTCATCAGTGTGTGTGTGAATGGGTGAATTGGAGGCAACTTATATAGCACTTTGGATAAAAATATATAAGTGCAGCCATTTACCATATTTTCAAAGGTCAAAAGTTTACATAAGGCAAACACTGCATATGCATTACTATGTTTACTTTCCTCTGAAGTCTGCTGTCTTCATTCTAAGAAGGCCCTGATTCAGCTGCACATTGCTGAAGCCCTTTTCTTCTATTGCTGTACATCGATGCACAATGGGCGGCTGTGGCTCAGGTGGTAGAGCGGGTCATCTAATAATTTGTTTGGAATACCAGACAAGCATGTATAAATAAAAGTCTATTTACCAAAATTGATGCACAATCCAGAAAATAAAAGGTCTATTTTCATTCCAGATCAAATATTCACTATATCGGCCGCAATATTGGTGAATTCTCCCCCTCTAAAATCGGTATCGGTCTCAGAGATACCAGTCAGGCTCTAATTATTAGAGTTTATGTATATGTTTTTCTTCTTATTCCTTGAGAACTCACTTACTTGTTCATCTGAAACTCTCCTTTCTTGCAGAGGTACGTTTTGTTAAAGTAAATGGCCCATTAAAATGAGACAAAGGGAAAACTATGTGCTTTGTTTAAATCATAATGCAGTTGGAGTTTTATTCCAGAAACCAGCCAGAAAAACGGGATCTCCTGGCTGACACCTGCACACTAGGATAAAACAAGTGTTGTGTGAGTTTTTCTGTAGTATTAAATTGTGCTCAGTGTTTGGTGTTTTCAAATGGGACCCAGCAACAAAAAGATTCCCCAGGGCGCCCTATACTCTGTGGCTCCTAAACCTAAAAGGTATGAAAGGTCACTGTACCTGATGGGTACGACCCTTGCCCCGGCTCCCTCCAGGTATTTGACATATGATGCAGCAATGTAAGAGGAGCCACGAGCAAACTGGTCTCCTGGGAGGTTTTCCTGCGCCAACACACCTACAGTGGACAAGATAGATGACATAACACAGAAAAGATTGAGAGGCAACAAAGAGCAGGGGACTTCTGAAAAGGAAAACCTCCACCCTGATGCACTCTTAAAGAGATCAGGTACTGACTTGCCCATTCTTGTGACACGTGCGGCTCCCTAATAGTTTTAGCTTCCTTTAGTTTTTTCTAGAAAGGTCTCTGGAACATCATGTATCCCAAAACATGTCTGTTATATTACTTAATAGCTTGACAATGTCCAGATGACTGTCATATGACAAGGCAAGGCAAGTGTATTTACAGTATAAAGCACATTTCACACACAGAGTCAACTCAAGGTGATTTACACAGTAAAGTTTAAAAACACACAGTTAGAGAAATACAATAAATAATAATAAAAACTATATAATGTTTTACATTACACAATTTCATTAGATGCAAGATTGAGAAGACCATACAAAATACACAGATTCTAAAGAAGCTTAAATTGCTATAAACACTCAGAGAGCCATACAATCCTCTATGTTAATCATAGAGGAAGTTTAGAAACTTTGATCCCCCGCTGGCGGACAAACATGCAACAAACACCTGATGAGGTGACACAGTAAACCCTTGGTATGACAGTGCAATACAATGATAACGCACTTCCTTCTTTACTCATAGCCACAGATCATGAGTCATGGCCTCAATTTGGTAACATGGTCAGAGTTCTGGCCCACAATTGCAGCAGGTTTGATAACATGTACAGTCATAGTTCTCTATTCTTATCAGTAAAATCCTGCTGCATGAACCTCCTGTTCTTTCTTAAAACCGTACAGCCTCTGCACGTTGGTATCAGTAACCACTGATGTGTTTTGGGTTTTAGATTAGAAATGTAGTTTTTGTTTTCGAGGCAAACTGACAGTGAGACCTGATAATACTGTGTAATACAACACAGCAAACATTTGCAGGTCACCTTAATTATTGTGAGACAAACATAACAGAAAGAATTGTAACCCCAGTAATACCCAGCAGCCTTTCATCCTTTCACATCATCTTCATCATCAACTATTCTCTCATCTTTTTTCCTGCCCCTCACTTGCTCAAATGTATGTTTGTCACCCCCAGAGGACATGGAGTACAGCATATCACCTATTACATAATATATAATAGCTACAGGTATCTAAATTATGTAATAATAGTAAGCACACGCACTACCTAAAACACAGCGGAGACACACACACACACTCACACACACACACGTTTTCTAGAACCTTCTCGATGAGAATTAGGACATTGGTGACATCCGGCGTGCACAGCCGTCTCTGCGGACAGGGACACACACTAAGAGCAGTTCATGTGCGGGTGAATCTTACCGATGACCGGTCGGTAATTGAGCTGCTGGCTTCTCCCCGCCACGCACAGGAGCGGAGCGCAACAGAGGCAGCAGGCGGTCAGCGCCGCGAACACCGCTGCAGCCGGTCGACACATCCAAAACACCGCGCAGCAGGAGAAACGCAAAAGAGCTGGAGAGGAGTGCGGTGGGCTGGGTCTGCACGTTGAGGATGAAAAATGCAATGCAATGGTGATAGTATGTGTCTATAAAAATAACAGAAGGCGGATAAAACAAACAGCCAGTAATTTATAAAACAACGATCCGAGTGAAGATGCTGCCTGCTGAGATGCTGTGTCCTCTCTTGCTGTCCTCTGATCTCTGCCTTTACCTCCGTCCAGGCTTTTGAGCATCAAGTCAGACCCACGTCACATAGAGGAGCCTCCTCCTTTTTTCTCCTTTTCCATAGAACTGGATCAGCCAGATCACCCACCCCTTCTAGATTAGACTCACAAGCCGGTCTCTAAATGCTTAACTCAATAAAGAGATGATTTTCTCTTAGTTTGCGTTGCTACAACTGGGTGGGAAACATTTAGAGAGCTTTTAGGATGGTGACATGCAGAAGTCATGTGCTGTAAACACTGTCATGACATATGATATTGTGCCTCAAGTTTTTTAAATGTTTTAAAAAGGTTATAAAGTGATTGGCTTAATCTGCAGCTGGTGAATGAGGGAAGAGCATTATGAGTTAGTTCAAGTCAAACTGTTTGAGGAAACCAGTTGCATTAAACAAATCAACTTCCTTAACTCAAACAATTAAAGCATGAAAAAAAATATCTGATCAACTTAATTACGGTAATTCTACCAATTCCATTCTGTTCATTGAATTTAAAACTGATATATTACACTCATATGCTGCACTTCTCTAAAGTTATTTAAAATGTGTTAAGATAATTTATATGAATAATGGGGAATAAATGCATATTCTTTATACAAATGTTACCACTTAAGTTGAATGTACTTTTCATTTACCTGTTAAAATAGCTAATGTATGAAAACAATAAAAACTATTTACAATTAATTGATTATCAAAATGGTAGCCAATTAATTTATGTGGATCAACAAATCTAATTGTTACTGCTGTTATTAAGTTGTTATTAGTTGAAAATGAATCAATGGAACAAGCTGGAATCATATCACCACTACTTAAAATACTGCACAAATCTAACAAGAATTTATTTTTGAGTTAGGTTGAGTTCATGGAGTGATTCCACATTATGTTATGTTAACTTACTTCTTTAATTATCATCCCTGATCCCCCGTTATTTTGAAGTTGCCAGCCTCTGCCAGCATTTTAGATTATATTCACTAATCTTTCAGGGATATAATGTTCCATGTTAACAGTGAGTACATTAAAAGAAAGAACAGCGGCTTTATTCTTATCCACAGAAAACATTTTATTCCAACTTCGTTCAAACACAGATTGGTGAAATATCTTATCAATGTTGGCGAAACGTTCTGTTTTTAATGACAGAAAATCTTGTTAATGGCGGGTATAGTGTTAAGATATGCAGTTTTTACAGTGAGGTAAGGCATGTCCTTGAAGTAAGGCTTGTAGTTAGCAGCTGTTCTCACAGTGCAAGCAGCTACTTTCATTTAGAAATTCCCAGACGATTAGGTAGGTGGGGATAAGAAGATAATGTGAGACTACGTCCAAAGAGCGACTACAGTGAGCATATCCACAGCAATACTGTATAATGAGTTAATTACTTCTTCTCACCAATAGAAGTAAAACAATAAGAACTGCTAAATTGTTATTTCGCAGAAGAGGAACTGAAGCTAAAGCAGTGTCCTCCCTCCACAGAAAAACCCCACCAAATTCTCTATGGTTCCTCTGTGTGGAGAAAATGTGATAAAGGTGGTGCATCATATGTGTTATTCTCTACTTGCTGCTAAATGGTAAGTGGTTAGTTACTTTCTACAGGATCCTCCCAGTCTATTTGTACATATATATTGATCAGCTACCGGACCCCAGCCCCCATTTTTATAGAAATATATCAGCTAAAACAGACATAGCTAGATGGATAGATAAGGAAACGATAGAAAGGCCCCTCTGTGACAGACTGATTGTTTGTATCTTCCGGTGTGAAGGTTCATGTTTCAAAAAACCATCCAGTTGCTAAATATGAAATCACAGCCTTTGTGAGAAAGAAGCACACATTCTCATTCAGTGTAATTATATTCCAGCTTATCACAGTGCTGCAGCTGTTGTGAGACGAAACAATCTTAAGGTTCTGTTGTTGTTTTTTGCTTTTTTTCTGCAACATGGCACGTTCCATGTGGGAAAAGTTGTACAAAAAAGAATAAAAATCTGTAGCTTGTTATTACTTTTTCAATGTATTTTTGCCCACACTGCATCTCTGCTCTGTAAACTTCAAAACTTCTGCTGACCTGCACATTTGTCATCAAAAGCACCACACTCTGCGTATTTCCCTAATTTGTTGTACTGTCATTGTGTTAACAGGAACTTTCAATGTCATTACATGTTGCATGGTCTGAAATGTTCTTTTCTTATCTCAATATCTTATTTATTTCATAATAAAACAGAGAGAACATATGGTGTGCATGTTTGTGAGAGTGCTGCTGCAGTGTGTTTGTTATAATTTCAGCTCTACAGCATGCATCCACATCAATTATCCTCTCTGTCGTCCTTTGTGTAACAGCTATTGTATACAGAGAGCATGTATATGTTTAGAGTGAACACTGCAGTGAGGAGAAGGTGCTTTAGGGTGTGTGCAAGTGTTGTGTGTGTTAATTTGATGAAGTCAGCAGTTTGTAATGCAGGTAGTCCATGGATCAGTGACTTTAGTTACAGTATATTGCAGAGGGACAGATTGCACTGCACCTCTACCATTGAACCACAAGAGGTCACACTCCCCCACCAAACAATGCTCACAGTTTCTTGCATACAGAGGCTGTCTGTATGAGGTTGTGCTGTGTGTGTGTGTGTGTCGGGTGTGTGTGTGTGTATGTATGTGTTTATCCAGGGATCATCATGGATATCAGCCTGTAATGTCCTTCATCAATATAATTCTAGTTCATTTTAAGTGGGCTTGGGAGTTGCTGTGTCTTTTATGCAGCTTAAAACAAGTGTTCCAAGTTATGCTGCTTATATTCGTCATAACAGACACCTGAAATGGCATTGCCACATCTTCCCACTCTTTCAAAATAAGTGAAACACTGTCCTTTCTGTGTTGTAGTGGCTGGTAAATGTCAGTTAGTCTGTGTGGTCAAAAATTGTGTTCTACTCTTACCAAAGTCCACCAAAGAGAAGAAAATTGAAGTAGGCATTCTTTGAATGAACAAGACTAAGAGTCTCCAGCCATGCTAGCAGGTCCTTGAGGCTTTAGGCACAGCCGTACTCTAACCTATATGCTAACATCAACATGCAGGAAAAATCAGGGGATCTCCAAAGTCATTAGTAAACCATGAATGTCTGTATAAAATGTTCAGAGTGCCAAAAGTTTAGGCCGTTTGATTCCAGAGTTACATGTGTAGAACCAGCAGAAATATCCCTACGTTTTGATGTAGAAATTATGTCTGAAGAGGTACATTTGTGGGAATGAGAGCAAGTTAAAGAGAAATTGTATCATTCGATTTCACGCACACATTCAGGCACACTGAATACACCTATACCAAATCATCAGACGGAGAAAAGAAACTCAAGTTAATTATAAAGACAGTCTCTGGCCTCACAACAAATGACAAAAAGTCAAAGGTAAAGTCTTTAACATTTAGGAGGATGTATTGGCAGAAATTAAATATATTATTCAGAGGTATGTTTTCATTAGTGTATAATCATCTAACAATAAGAATTATTTTTTTTTTGTTACCTTAAAATGAGACATTTTATCTACAGAGCGAGCGGGGCTTGTTCTAGTGGCTTCTAGAGTCCATATTCCTACTGTAGCCAAGAATGGAACAACCAAACACTCTAGGGTCTTTTGCGTATTTTTGTGGTCACCATAGTTTCTCCTTCATGCTTGGAAGGGGGAGGTGAGGCGAAGGGGTTGTAATCTGCAACTACACTGCTAGATGTTGCTAAATCCTACACATTTGTCCTTTAAAGTTTTTTTTGAAAAGTACATGATGACATATCAGAACAGAGCCGAGCTCTTCACACTGACTCTGCACCCAGCACAGTGAAGTGCTTATCATGTAAAAGTGTGTGTGTGCAGAAAGAGAGAGAGAGAGAGAGAATGTAACACTTTCAAGGACAACTAAAATATGTGGGTTGGTGATTGTGTGCTGTTTGCCATCTTACACTATGATTGCAAGTGTGTATTCAGATCTGCTCTTCCTACGCCTCAGGGCAGTTCAGTTTGTACTGGTGAACACTCTGTTCAGTCCATAATCACCAAATAAAGAAGAACCCATTCCACCCCCTCGTCTGTGATGTCACACTGATGTACCACATTAAAGCTCCGCAGAGACTGAACAAGGGAACATGCGGTATATGAGTGTGACAGAGGAGCTACAGAGGTGATTTTCCTGAAGATGTGGGCACGCAGTTCTTCTGAATACCAAATGAGAAAGAAAGCTTAAAGCATCGCTAATCAGTATTTTTCATATTAACAACAGATCAAATGATTGTGTACTGTGAGAAGGGCTGCTCGCAGTGATTAAACCGCAGAGACCATCGTCGTGGAACGTCTAAAAGCTAAAGGGCAAGATATTTTTTTTATCTGAAGTTGGTGGAACCCAAACCAGAGCTAAAGGAGAATGAAAATTGATTTACATTCGGCCCCCTTGTAAACCCACAAAAGTCCTCTCTTGGATGCCCCTGTGGTAGATAAAGAGCCTGAGTGTGCCACTGGACAGAAACATAACCTCAAAATAATGCTACCATTACTCTGTGTCTGCTGGATGTGTAAATAGCCCATTATTTGCTAACACGTTATCCTCAACAACTTCATGAGGTGATGCTGTGTCAGGGTGTGCATTTGTCAGCTTATTGTGGAGTTACACTGCCATCAGGTGGTAAAAAAGGAGAAATAAATGTAGCTCTAATAGCCGGGGCATACCTGAAACAAACTATTCCATACAAAATGTCGTCTGACCACGTCTAAAGGCTATAAGTCAGACTCAAGAGTGATGTGATGAGTTGTACAAATGGGAGTGAAGGTCCACACTTTCAGACAGTCTCTCCAAAAAAGCATTCAGGGTTTTGCACTGTTGTACACATGAAAAGTGTCAGTAATAACTGTGTGAGAGAGCCCGAGAGAGAAGCCTCCCGATTCTGATGTAAGGTGTGGGGGTTTCAGATACCATTCGACCACCTGACAAGCATAGTTTGAACCATATTGATGCCACCGTAAAC